CACAAAGCTGACAACATAGTCTATGCTGGTATAGAACTGTAACTCAGCTGGCCTGTGTGAACACAAAGCTGACAACATGGTCTATGCTGGTATAGAACTGTAACTCAGCTGGCCTGTGTGAACACAAAAGCTGACACATGGTGCTATGCTGGTGATAGAACTGTAACTCAGCTGACCTGTGTGACACACAAAAGCTGACACATGGTGCCTATGCTGTATAGAACTGTAACTCAGCTGGCTGTGAACACAAAAGCTGACACATGGCTTGCTATGCTGTGTAGAACTGTAATTTGTCTCGCCCTGCACATTGCCATGCCAAGGGGTGAACATTGGCTTACATGATATACATATATATTATGTATATATTATGTCAGAATTTACTCTACGGGTTGTTCCTATTCTTTCTTCCCCTTTCTTCTTTATGAACATTAACATACAGAAAAAATGTGGCGAGATGCTGCGGCCAAAGTGAAAATTGTAGGTAAGATTTTACCATGCACATCTCTCGTGGATATTCCCCTGCCCATTTTGAACGCCTAAGATCAACCGATTAAGATATTTATCTTGCATGGCTTGCAACGGCGACGAGTAACGCGAACACCATTTTATGTATATTAGCATAGGGAAAAATTGTGGCGGTGTGCTGCTGCCAAAGTCAAACTTTTAGGTCGAATTTTACCATTCACATGCATCTGACGAGGGCATACCACGACCTCTCGATCTCGTTGAATCGTTGATTACACTGTAACTATATAATGCACCCCAGGGCCGTAGCCTCTGGGGGGGGGGCAAGGTATCTGTCCCCCTAGATTTTGTAGCAAAATTTAAAAATAAGCTTAGCTAATCATCGTAAATAACCCTAGCGGGATTTTTTTTTTTCACTTATCCGTGAAAGCCTTGTCTCAGACCCACCCCTACCACACTATAGAGTATAGACAGTCGATCAAGAACTGCGCCCGGCGCTCATCATTACACAGTGAGTCATGAAATTTCGCCCCCCCCCTTAGGAATTTGCTCAGCCTACGGCCCTGCACATCTAAATAATCTTCTATACATAACTCACGTTTATTGTATTTGGCTATGTTGCGGTCTACTCCCTGCAGGAATCTATATCAGATATAGGTATAAAAAAATCACTGTCACGTGTACGCGCGGTATAATTATCTTCTGAAATTTGTTCTCATATAATATATGACTCATTATGTCTCACAATTTGCTCACAAGTAATCACCAATGAACTGTTTGCATGGGTTATTGTAAATTTAGCGTGAAAATTTGACCGAATGCGCCGAGTTGTTGGTCGATCGGGCTAGCGAGGCACGGATGTGACAGCATATATACGACAGCATACAGCGACCTACACACGCCCGCACGCACTTACACACGCACGCACGCACTTACACACACACTCTCACACACGCAACAAAAGTTGACACATGGTGCTATGCTGGTGTAGAACTGTAACTTGTCTCGCTGCACATTGCCATGCCAAGGGGTGAACATTGGACTCATATTGACACCACAAGTGGCCATGAGACAGAAGGCCACAATGCCTGCGCTTGAATTTTGCAACTGCGAGGAACTAGGATATTTCGATCGTCATTGAGTGCGTACCTGAGATGCCCATGGCTATACTGCAAATAAATCCACATGTTAACGTATATATTAGGCACCTGTAGGTGTTTAATATATATTCCAAGTGCTTTTATAATTGCAGAACAAGGGATCAGTGTTACATACAATGACATATGTATGCCACATTTGTGGTGGCGTCAATGTACTCGATTAAACAGAATTGTGTTACATATAGTATATATAACAGGTAAAACGTAGACGACACAGAAATGACTGTATAACTTACGTATACTTAAAAGATTCTCCACTGATCAACATCTTAGAAAAAACATTCTGAAGACTGAAAGAAAAAACAAGTAATATTCAATAACAAGATTCTGACAATAGAACTTCTTTAGAGAGTTTTGGTTTTTGCTACGGCACATGTATGTATAGAGGATCACTCAGGACTAATGTTACGATAATGACCAGTGTACATCGAGGTGAACCTAGTACTAAGCCCACCTCTATATAAACACTCACCAATCACAGATATTCGTGGCAAGTGCGGCTATAAAGCCGATTATGTTGAAGCTGAGTTCGTTGGCGCTACACAGAGCGAGTCCACCCATCAGTGGGATGAGAGAGAGATGCACCAAAAACCCTGCGGAGAGACAAGCAACATGTAACCTCATCACACATTGCACGTGCACATACATCATCCTTCCTAAGAACAGACAACCAACACATAGCCTCCACACAAACGCACGCACGCACGCACGCACGCTCTACCCTCAAAATGTGCATATCTAGAGTTTAGGACAAATAAGTGTCTAGGACAGCACAAGACTTGCATTGGACTTAGGCAGAAATTAGACATCTTGTCATGTGTACCGAGTGCGGGTATGTGTAACGGGTATGTGTAGCCGGGTATGTCCGGGTATGTGTAACCATGTTGGTCACTCTCACCTGTGCGTTCATTGAGCAATAGACGTGAGATTATGACAGTAAAGATGGGCGCCGAGCTTTTTACAGTCTCTGTGAATGAGACCGCGACAAACTTCAACGCCACCAACCCTAGAACCACAGTGGTGAACCTAAAACACAATCATTAAGCAAATGGTACATATAAAGCAACGATAGACACCAACATCACACAATAGTTTTAAAGGGATACCTTGTCCTAGAATTTTATAATATATTATAATAGTAATTGTGCATAAATATTAGCATAAATGCCTACAAATTTCTATAATCACGCATTCACATTTGTCATAAAACAACAGTGAGTTTCAACCACAGTTTTGACTGCTGACATGACACCGCACAATTGTGCTGCCACCCTGAAAAAGTTGCGCATTTGCCAATTTATTTTGCACGTTACAGACTGAGGGCTAATCACAAAGTGCAATTATATTTATCCTAACTGCTATTTAACCGAACGATTTTTACTTTAGGACAAATTCGTCCATATTATAACTGAAACTAAGTGTCCTTTATAAGATATTGCAATCCTTCTTCCGCAAGAGACACATATAAGAAATACATAACAAATAAAAGAAGATATACATACAAAATAAATAAGAAACACCCTCAGTCTATAGCCTGCAACCAAAACGTTGCTTTGCACAACTTTTTCAGTGGGTGTGCTGCCAGTGGTGCCACCGTCGTTGTAAGCAATGGTATAGCCGTCAGTTTTACAATATTAAAAAAAAATATTTCTAATGAATATTGAACCATGAAACTTTTTATGTAGCGTAATTTTAACCTATTTTAACTGAAAATATCCAAAGAACCTAGAGTAATGTATCCCTTTAAGTAAGTCCAGTAATTTTAACCAAGATTGCACTAGTAAACTATGATAATGATATTTATTAGTGATATTATATGATAGTTATATGATAAACAAACCAATAAAATGCAATGACAGAACAGAACAACAAGGTATAATAAATGAGAGAAACGAGGCATGGTACGTGCATCACCTCATGCATCCAAGAAGAAGCATGTTTCGTACGAAGTTGGCCGGTTTGCCATGTCGCTCCACTCGCTTGAACATCCCACACGGGAAGTGCATCTGTATGAATCCACAGATGAGTGTCATCAACATCTGCATTGCTCCTGGTAAAGATGAAATCCACCAGACTGTAGTGTCACATGAAGCTAGCTGATAACCAGGGTGACTAAAACTAACGAATAGATGTGCAAATATATATGCATGAGCGATAAATACGTACGCATTTCACTCTGAGGTTGGTATATTGCTTTAAAGGTGGGATAGACATTGAAGGTATATATGCTTTCCCAGCAGCCAATGCTGTCTCACCACATTTCCCATCACACTCTCTCCCCTCACCTAGCAACGTCGGTTCTCCGTGCAGCGTAGTCAGGATGTACTTGTTCAGGAAAAGCGTACAGAAGCTGAACAGGTACCAGAGCACGAGGAAAGCAATTGCTCTCATGCTGAACAGTCCGAGGCGAGCGTCACTCGGTAACACCTCATCCTCGTCCTCCAGCAGCAGCTTCTTGCTCTCCGACGAATGCTGTCCATTAACAATAGCCTGCGACGACGAAATGTGATCGAGCACGTCTGACGACAGCACCCCCTCGCGGCAGGGATTCTCGCCCCGGCCTGGAGTCTCGGGGACAGGCGGGAGTATAGCTCCGCTGGTCTCAAGGAGCTGCCCAGCACCATTGAGGTCAGAGGTCAGTTCAAGTGGATCGCTCTGCGAGTTGTGGCGAAGTCGCATCGCCATCCTGACGATTCGGTACGAAGCTGAATCAGAAATGGTAATGTTGTTCTGTGACCTAGTTGTGGTTCAACTAGCTCGACCCTACTGGCCTGGGCTTGCTACCAGTACCACAGGTAAGCGCTACGTGCCTGTAGCAGCACGTCCGGCCTCCAGAGCAGAGCTATATACTATTACTTATATGAATACTAGAACAACGACAACAACGGCATAACCAACAACAATAACATGTTTTGCTATTCTGTATTCAACTTGACGTGATGCGGCCATGATACCGAGGCTCGCCGAGGATTGACACTTTGTGTCTTCCAATCACAGTCTACGCCGCCCCCTTATCTTCTAACTTTTAGGTACAATACTATTGTATCGCTGATCTCAGGAACTAGGGCATTCTGCTAGGCTAGAACGGTTTCCTACGATAGAGTTTGGCACAAAAACGAAAATAACACGTCGTTTAGTGCACTACGCTACGTAATTTTGTTTCATTTTGGCATCTCCGTAATAAGAATAAGCCCCGCCTTCTTCGTTGATGGGCATGAATGGGGCGTCAACGACGTGATCCGTTACTGCGTGTAGGTGTTTCACGAGACTGCTTGCTTTTCGTATATAATGAAATGCCCGGCCGATGCATTTTGCATCGAACAAGAAAATTTGCTGCATTTTCACTCACTGTCGGAAGTGAACGAGTGCGTCATTCATTGAACAATTCAATAAAACACACACAATGTTCGAAGCACGGGGCTAATGTTTACATGCCATAGCGCCATCTCTTGGATGTTTTATACGTATATATGGGGATTTTTAATAAAATAATGTGTTTTTATATGTATTTACCACGATTTACGTATAGAAACTATATGTTATTTTTACTGATTTCTCCGTATCTTTCTTTGAAGTTTTCATCGTCTTTCAATGCCTTTTGATAGGTTTTCTGCGTGATTATATGCTGCATACTTGAACATCCCCGCGGTCGCGTGCGCATATCCCGCGGAACTGCGCGTCTCATCCGCGCGCAGCGCTTAGGATCAACAGCAAAGCTGTGCCACGCAATCTTGTATCATGTCTCTCTGGATTGCTACACTACCGTTTGTACAGTTGTTGTGCGAAGCGAGATAATAGCTGCATTGCAAGCACATTAAAGTACAAATTCTTGCCACTACTTCAACTGATGACCTACACGTAACTAACTACACGTGTTACGTAACAGTAACACAGAGATGTTTTGTATGGACGCGGTTAGCTCTAGTACTATAGCCCGCGTACAGTTGGCGCAAGACTGCAGGCCTACTACAGGCGCAGGACTACAGGCGCCTGCGGCAAAATTACTGTACGCGGGCTATAGTACTAGAGCTAGGACGCGGTTGGACTGTGTAAATACTAAATTGAAATTCGTTCTTCTCCTCTATCAGTATCATGAATATTACTTGAATGGATGCAATGTACGTACTGTCAACTGATTATTGTTCTTGTATGTTATCACTGTATATACTGCACCTTTACTTTTATTTGCAAATTTATTTCAACATTTCCTCATTTGCAATACAGCGAATATCTGGCGCTACATATTATTTCTACTGTACATATATATATATGCATAACTGCACGTGCACATTCATGCAGGTAACAAAACACTTTTTTAACATGAAATGACTCCCCCTCTACTTATAGCTTTTACTGATTTAACAATGTTTTTCCATTCCTGAAGTGTGAAAATGTTTCTTTTTTTAATTAATTAATTTTCCCCGCATGGATATTTGCTAAAAGATTAGGTCTGTGGTTCCAGAGAAATTTTGATGCCAAATGTCATCGTTGACAACTGAGACAAAAACAATGTACAAATTAAGTGTTTCGTGACCTTAAAAGAATATGTTTCCCAATTTATCATTACAATAAAGCAATGCCAGCTTCATGAAAACTTCACCAAAGAGCATAAAGTATGCACCATTGTGGCATTTTGATGAAGCTTTACCTAGCTCTATATATAACAGACATCAACAGTGCCAGGACAGGGGCCCATTGTCAGAAACATCGTAAAGTAAAGGCAAATGTTAACTTACGACTAATGTTAAGACTAACTTTCTGACAATGGGCCCCAGGTTAGTAACAGGACAGTTAGTATGCACCTGGTTACACAGATACTTCCTTTTGCCCATAAAATATAACCACATCATTGCACAGAAGAGGAAACCCTCACTAACCATCTATGACACAACTTGTGGTACAAAGTCACCTGACTTCATAAACCAATCAGATTTGTGTAGACAAGCTTAGCCACTTGCAAATGACTTAAAGAAAGTTGGCATGGCTAGGTGTAAGATGTTCTACCAAAGCCGCACACCTTTCTGCATCCTTCTCTCAGCACGTGGCGCCCTCGCATGCTCACAGCCTTTGCTTCCTCACGTGGTGCGCTCAGTCACTGCCTGCCTCAGTACGTGGTGCGCTCACACAGTCACTGCCTGCCTCAGCACGTGGTGCGCTCACACAGTCACTGCCTGCCTCAGTAATGGTGCGCTCACACAGTCACTGCCTGCCTCAGTACGTGGTGCGCTGCACACAGTCAACTGCCCTGGCCAGCATGTGGTGCGCTCACACAGTGCACTGCCTGCCTCAGCACGTGGTGCGCTCACACAGTCCTGCCTGCTCAGCACGTGGTGCGCTCCACACAGTCACTGCCCCTGCCTCAGCCCGTTGGTGCGTCACACCAGTCACTGCCTGCCTTCAGCTACGTGGTGCGCTCACACAGTCAACTGGCCTGCCTCAGCACGTGGCTGCGCTTCACACAGTCACTGCCTTGCCCTCAGCACGTGGTGCCGCTCACACAGTCACTTAGCCTGCCCTCAGTACGTGGTGCGCTCACACAGTCACTGCCTGCCTCAGCACGTGGTGCGCTCACACAGTCACTGCCTGCCTCAGCACGTGGTGCGCTCACACAGTCACTGCCTGCCTCAGTACGTGGTGCCGCTCACACAGTACTGCTGCCTCAGCACCGTTCTAGCTTTGGCACGCCGGGACCAGATCATGAGTTTGCCGCCTGGTTGTAGATGGCAGCACTCCGACGAGAACAATGCCGTGCCCACCGCGCTAAGCAGCGTCACAGATTACGACACGATCACGACACAGAGGAGCAGCCGACCCTCTCACATGTTTGGCGACTAAACAAAACACAGTCATCCCTGACATGATGCTTGTTTGGTTTGTTTTTTCTGTACGTCATAAATGTTACGCTACCAAAGTTTATAGCCATTCTATCAAATCGTGGATGTGGGAATTGTGTACGATGTCATTATCTTGTTTAGCTATATACGCAACGAAGTATAGAACATATGCACACCTCTATGATGATGGGTTACATTTACCTGTGTGTGACAGGGAGACATTGTACCTGTATGCGGACGAGAGACATTTAACTCTGGCTGTGACAGAAGAAATTGACCTGTGTGTGATAGGCGGACATTGAACTGTGTGTGACAGAAGACATTAGAACTGTGTGTGACAAGACATTCACCTTGTATGACAAAGGACATTGACCTGTGTGTAACAGTGGGACGTATTCCTTCATGTGACAATGGACATGGCTGTGTGTGACAAAGGACATTCACCTGTGTGTGACTGAAGGCACTTGACCTGGGTTGACAGAAGACATTGACCTGATGTGACAGAAGACATTGACCTCTGTTGTTGACAGAAGACACTGACCTGCTGTGTGACATAAAGAATATGACCTTGTGTGTGACAGGGAGATTTTCTGCAAGTGACACGCGACAATTGTACCTGTGTGTGACGGGGAGATACTGTACTCATCAGTACGTAGCGGTGATTGCTTGAAGTGGAGAAGACTCCGTCCGCGAGGAGGAGCGATCAGGAGCGTGTGATCACGGTCTGCCTTCACATGATCAAAGTCATTAACATCAGCACTGCCGGGTCCTCGGACCAGATGCTATGCTGGTATAACTGTAACTCAGCTAGCCTGTGTGTAACACAAACAGCTGACACATGGTGCTATTGCTGGTATAGAACTGTAACTCAGCTGGCCCTGTGGACACAAAGCTGACCACATGAGTCTATGCTTGGTATAGACTGTAACTCATGCTGGCCTGTGTGACACAAAGTTGACAACATCGGTCCTATGCTGGATATAGAACTGTAACCTCAGCTGGCCTGTGTGAACTACAAAAGCTGGACACATGGTGCTATGCTGGTGTAGAACTGCTAACTCAGCTGACCTGTGATGACACACAAAAGCTGACAACATGGTGCCTATTGCTGTATAGAACTGCTACTCAGCTGGCTGTCGAACTACAAAAGCTGACACATGGCTTGCATGCTGTGTAGAACTGTAAATTTGTCTTCGCCCTGCACATGCATGCCAAGGGTGAACATTGGCT